AAAATTTAAAATATATAAAAAAAAGGATAATGTCTAAAAAGTGTCATATCTATTATTTAGAAGCATTAGATTGATAAATTAAAAGATTCTATCATTTGTAACAATCAAAAGATAGGATCAATATGTAGTTTAAATAAAAAAAGACTATAGTTCAATCCCTTAAGATTATAATACTTTAAGAAAAATAATATATAATATTTATTAAATTCAATAAAGTATAAGTAAGATATATCAAGATTCTCTTTTTTAGGATAAAACTGTTACAATAAAAAAAAAAAAAAAATAGAATATTGAAAGATAGACTTCTCTTTTCCAGTGCTTACACAGTTAATGAATATATATTTTGATAATATTATCAATCACTTTTTTTTATAAATGTTCTAGAACCTATTTTATAATTCCTAATTTATTATTATTTAAAAAAATATTGATAGAAATTCTATACTAGATAAGATAAGGTGGAAATCAAAAAAAGAATCAGAGCCAGGAGACAAGAAATCATAATATGATTATACTGAAAATAGCTAAAGAAGAGATATTATAACTTGAATTAATAAAGCCCTTAAAAAGTAACTAGCTAATAATATAAAAGTAATAGTAGTAGTATAATATTTAAATTACTCCATATCAAAACCAATTTCTTTTTTTTATCGGTGACTTTTTTGTTATATGCAGAATCTTTTTTCCTATTTAATTTTGTATAGTTTTTGTTTTTAATTATAAATAAACTTGAAAGATTGAATTATAATAGTCAAATAGAAATCTTAACTAATTATATTTAAATTTGAAAAATATATTGATATAAACACAAATATTATAAATTCATTTTTAATTTTTCTTGCACTAATCGACCTTTTTATTAGTCTCTTTATTCTAAAAAGGATAGCAAAGTAATAAAATGGATTTTTTCTTATCAATATTTTACTTGAAAAACAAAAATAGTTTATCTATATGACTATATATATAATATCTACTAAAACAAGATTTATTCACTATACAAAAAAATATATATTGAATTTGAGAGTTTATAAAAACAATTTAAGAATATTACTATTATAATATAAACTTAAAGATATATAATTAAAATATAATTAAATTAATAAAAAATTAATATAATTAAATTTAATATAATTGATCCATAGATCCATAACACAATAATGGTATTTTTAGGTTACAATCACAAGATCTAAAGTTCAATATTATATGAGGGCCAAGTGAAAATTAAGTTATAGGTAATATGAAGATCTCATCTTTCCTATGATGATAATTAAGTACTTCAATAAGGCAATAAAAAGAATCTATTCACTTATCATGCTTATAGTAAAAATGAACAAATCAATACAGGTTCTATATAAGGTTAATATAAGTGATACAAGTTCTTAACATGGAACCAGTTCTGTAATATTTCAATAGAAATAAAAAATAGAAGGATCCATCCACTTATTACAGTCATAAAAGATATGATACAAATATAAGTTTCAAATAAGGCTAATATAAGAGATATAACATTCTTATATAAAATGATTATTAGGCTAAGATATAAGAAGAAGAACCTAATTGCTTATAGAAACAACTAGATATACCTATAACAAGATAAAGATTCAATCTAGTGCAATGTTGAATATATAAATAGGCTTCAAATCAAAGCTAAAATTGAATGATCAATGCTCTTAATACAAGATTAAGCTCTAATCAAGTAACAAAACAAATTAAGATATAAGACAAGCTTCCAAGAAAAAACTTTAACCACTAATGGAGTCACATAGATTTTATATAAGAAATCCTTAATACTGATAGTGCTAGATATCTTAGGTAAGTTCTTGACATATTAGTTTTTTCAATAGGAATAGTAACAAGTTATTCAGTAAGATTATAGTCTTAGAAGGTATCATTTTGGTAATATATAAATTTAAAATAATGAGATTACTTTATTAAATTGAATATATAAAGACTTTCCTATCCTTTAGTTTAGTTAGAATCGAGAGATAGTTCTATATTAGATAGTTATATTGTTACCATATTCTGATTGGATAAGACATAAATAGATACCTATTGTATTATTTATTGATTTATAAATTCTTAGATAGTATAGGTAATTACTTATCTCAGTTGTTTTTAGGACATATCTTGATTATAATAAAGCTTTCAAACTGGTGCAAAAATAAATTAATATTTAAAAAAAAAAATTTAATATAATTTTTTAATAGAATAAAATTTAAAATAATTAAATATAAAGCATAATTTAAGTTTATTTATTAATTTTAACATTATAAAATCAAAGATAGTAAATATTTTAATAAAAATTTTTTTATTTTTATTATTTAATTAACTAAAGTTTTAATTATAATTTTTTATTTATTTTAATTAAATTAAAATAAGTTTTTTATATTAAAAAGATATAAAAATAAGAAAAAATTCAATAAATAATATAAATAAAAAATCAAATTTAAATAAATAAGTTTTTTAAATAATTAAATAAAAAAATATTTTAATAAAGTAAATTTTTATCAAATTATTTTTTTAAATATAATATTAATAATATATCAAATATATGATTTCAAACAAAATAATTTTATATAAAATATTTTTATATAGCAAAAATATTATTTTTAAGATTAAATTTTCTACCAATATTTTGATTATACTGTATATAAAAATTTTTTTTACAAAAAATTTTTTTATTTCTTTGATAATAAAGTCTAATACTTTTCTTTAAAACAACTTGAAGTAGAACCTCAAGAATTATTTTTACTCTTTCTTTCTTATTTACAAATATCTGATTAATTTTATTTTTTTGAAGCTTTTGTTTTTACAATTTTTTAAAAAATTTTATCTATTTTAGGTTTGATCTTGAATTTTAATTAACACAAATTCTTATTAAAAATAACTGATTAATATAAAATATATTAATATATAGAATATAAACAAGTTTTTATTATTTATATTTATATATTTTAATAATATTATTGATAGTTAAAAAGAAAGTTCTAGAAATTGTTTTTTTTTTTAAAAGATTTTAAATTTTCAAAAAAAAAATATTTAAAATATTAAAAAGTTAAGTTTTTTGAATAGTAAAAAGGGTTTCTTAGTTAAAAGTTGAGATTTTTATATTTTCTTGAGTTATTTTAATCTATTATTGTTTAAATAATGAATTTAGTTGAATAATTTATTTGATATTATAGATAATAATAAAAAAGATTTTTTTTGAAATTCAAGTAAAAATAAAAAGAATATTTCTATCAAATAAATTTTCTTTGAAAAAAAAGTTATTCAATTGATAGATTTATTGATAAATTTTTTTTAAGGAGTTTAAATTATATTCTTTTTTTTTTTTTATTGTTTTATTTTATTTTATTAACTTAATAATTTATAATTTTTAGGCAATCTATAGTAATAAACTATTAATGATAATAGAGATTTATATTAATTCTAAAAATAATAATTAACTATATAATATAATTGTAAGCTAAAAAAAAAAAATTATTCTTAAAATCAAATTAAGGATTTTTAAAGTTTATAACAAGTTAACTAGTTATAAATAATTTAATTTAATAATATACTATATATTATACTAGTTAAAAAAAATATAATCTATATTTTTTTGATTAATAAGTTTTTATTTTTAATTTAATTGTAAATTATATTATAAAAAATTGTTAGTTTGTATTTTTTATAATTATTATAAATACAATATAAAATCCATTATATATTAGTTTGATAAATTAAATTAATACATATTTAATAAAAATTTTATAAATTCTAATTTGTACTTTAATTAAAACTTCATTGAATTTATATAATTGTATTAATTCACAATAAACATATTATAAAATTAATAATTAAAAAGAATTTTATTTATGCATCTAGAAAATATACAATTTAATAATTTTTTTTTATATCAAACTTTTTTTTAATAATATTTCATATATCTATTTGTTATTTAAATAAATACACATATATATTGTATACAGAGTGTATGTAAATATACTGTATTTTATATATTGAAATTAAATTTTATTTTAATTAAATAAGAAAATCTTCCAAAGAGCCTATTTATTATTTATACTATAATTAAATGTTTTTATAATGAAATCATCTTAAACTTATTAAACCAAATATTAAAATCAATTTTATTAATCAAAAAGAAAAAAGCCAATTAAAACTTTTGATTTAAAATAATTATAATATTAGTAGTATTATTAATAGTGGTATTGATTGGTTTCTTTTGATTCAATCCTGTGTAATTTTTTAAAGGATGATTTCCAGTTCAGTTATAACAGTCCTTATTGTTGGTCAACATTATATATAATCTGGACCAGAATTATAAAACTTACAAACAATTCTGAGATCACGATCTTTTCTAAAAATTAATTTTAAGAAAATTCTCGGTATTGTTTTTTCGGTATCGAATTACTCGGGTGAATGTCAGCAAAAAGTAACCGATTCTATATTAAATCTAAAGATCTAAAAGTTAAGATGAAAATTTACACTTTGAAATAATTAATTCGAGTTTTTTTAAACGGATAGTCGAGGTTGTTCATTGTATCGAGAATATTTACATTTTTGAATCTTTTTTTTAACACCAATTAATTGGTAAAAATAAAAATAATAAATAAAAATAATAAATAAAATAAAATTCTTTATTAACAATTATTACCTGCTTCATCGTAGACCATACCTTGGCCTGCCTTCATTTAAATAATACATCCTGAGCAATTAAAAAGCATTTAAAAAACATGCAATTCTTGATGTACGCACTTGCTTATATGAATAATATTACCAATAAATGAATATTACAATATGCAACCTGAAATTTATTTTATGCTACGTGCATAAGCAGATCAAGAAAGAAGGGACTGGAATATGTCGGGTAATAATGCAATTATACACAGTGTACCATGTGAAGGGCAATTAAAATAAATATTACACAATTAAAATTACGCAATAATGTGATATCATACAAGAGAGGCTCCAGTATAAGAAAAAAAAAGATATATATATTAATATTTCGAGTGCCTGGGTGAATTAGGCGCACTCAACGCACGCGCCGGCGAATTGGGTACACTTAAGTTGCTAGGCGCGTACATCGGCGAATTTGGCACACTCATAGCGTATTCTGGCGGACTGGGCGCGCGTCTCGGCGAATTTGGTACACTCGACGCGTATCCTGGAGGACTGGGAGCGTGTCTAGGCGAATTGGGCGCACTTAAAGCGTTTCTCGGCGGATAGCTGGGCGAACTGGGTACATTCAGCGTAAACGCCGGTGAACTTCGCACACTTAAAACGGGAGACTGAAGCGGCGTGTGTGATGAGCTATATCCAGAATTTACCGAGCAAGGAGAGTACAAGGTGGTGGGACCAGAGTTTACTGAGGAATGAGAGGAGCGAACAAAGTGTTTTTCTAAGCATTCCCCGCTAACTTGAATGCTGGCGATGTGTATCGAATATCGATTCTCATCGTAATCATCTTCCCCCTCTTTATAATCTTCACTTATTTTAATCTCCTTTTCACCCTCGTTACTTTTAATAGCCGTCACTTCGCCCAACTTATATTTCCTATAATACACCAAGCCTATAATAAAGAACGCTAAAGCTATCAGAGCACCGGTAACGCAGACGGAAATAATAAGTAATTCACTGGTTTTAATGTTGGAAGAGGTTATGACAACATCTGTGACCCAGCTGAGGGTAGTGTAGTCCAGGGCGTATATTTGCGAACTTTGGGTGGTACTACCAGTGGAAACATTGTGTGTTATGCTTCCTGTTTGTTTTAAGGATGAAGTTAACTACGGAAATCTCTCTTTCGCAAGCACCCAATCACATGCCAACATGAAACTCACCAAAAATAACAAACATATAATTCTGATAAATAATGGCCGTATGATTGGTGACCAATGCGTTTGGAGGAATTTTTACCTGTGGTATGGTGTAATTAAATGGTTTGGTGGTAGTGTCTAATACGACTAGAGGGGGAACAGGTGTTTGCTTGAATATGCTCATTACTCCACCAAAGATCAGAATTTGACCACCAGGTGCTAGTCACGGAGAATGGGAAAGGTCGGGTGAATACCGAAACAAAGCGATTGTAAAAGGGAAAGAAAGAGCATTCGAAAAAAATCAAAGGAAAATTTTCTTTCACGTACTTATAACTGCGGTATGATCGGATCTTGGAATGATCGTTGCGCCGCCTGTGGTCTAAGAGAAAAGAAAATATGGCGAACCAACCAAGAATAATCACGCAAAAACCTAAGGGATCTTGAATGACGGGGCTTACCATAGTCGACCATCTTGCAAGTTTGGTATCATAGGTCGGAATCTATTATTATTCATTTGAAAGGAATTAATATCTTCCTGATGAGCAAATAGTAGTAAGTATAAGTTTATATATAACCTGACTCATGGACGCATCCACCCACGTATTTTTACTTTTCACCCTTCCTCCAATAAACAGTATCCTTCCATCATTCAACATCACAGATGCTGCATTGCTTATTGGTGGTGGAGCGTTAACCGATGATCCTTGTGTCCAACTCAAAGCAACACTATCAAAGACAAAAATATCATTGAATCCTTCGTTCGTCAAAATCCCCGTTCCTGTGTTATTACTCAAGTCTTCCTTGTATCCACCAAAAATATACAATTTCGCGTTATTGTCACTCACATACTGGAATTTCACTCTTCTCTCAGGTGATGCGCCGCTCGTCGAGGGTAAAGTCCACACTTGGTTTTCAGGAGTGAACTGATAGGTCATACCAATATCGCTATCGGAATCACCATCTGATGTGGTCATCATTAACCCGTTGGTGAGGAAGATTGAGGACATGCCACTTCCACCTCTGAATGCTGCATTCTGCGCAACCTCCAAGGGCACTTGGGATGATGTACTAACCCATTGCGGAGCAGCGGTGTTAAATGAGGATGAGAGATCTAAATAAAGTATATCGTTGAGTATGGAATTGGGCGTTTCACCGCCGAAGACATAAAGCTTAGTGTCGAATAATACTGAGGTATGTCCATATCTAGGGGTTGGGATGAATGAGGCAAGGGCGATGTCTATATTATTCAAGAGGCATGTCACACATAATAATAAAAATATTAACCGCAATGATGAGAGTGGTGATGGTGGTGACGGAAAAATGAACATCGAATTTTGGTGGGGGTGGCGTGTCTTGCATCGGGGACGGTGATGGAGGTTGCAAAGTAATCGGAATGATCGGACGTTTGTATTCTGACAAATATGTTGATGTTGACAATGATGGCAAGGGATTGGGTTTTTGAAATTTAAAGTCCGTCTCAGGCAATTCGGATTGTAATTGAGAGGATTGGCCCCACGGTAATAGTTGTCACGATGCATTTTTTTTTTTTAATCTGACCGCCACTATCGATTGTTCTCAAGTATTTTCGATGTGAAATTTTAATTAAATCAAAAGGAATGAAACGAAATTGATCGTGGAAAATATTTTTATTATCATCTAGCTTCTTCTTTTTTTTCTTTTGTTAGATTCTAGAAATTTCGTGTGCCATTTATAAAATTTAACGAAAGGAAAATCCAAGAAAAAAATTTGAAACTGGAAACTATTTAAATGCGAAGAGGTAGCCGAGGGTTTATATTTGAGTAAAAAGTACAGATGTGTTCTATTGGAAGTAGCACCAGGCTGCCCGATGGCATTAATCAATAATAAACTTTACCAAAAATATATGCTATTCATATACCACTTTACATTGCGTGCATAATATACGATAAATTTGAATGCCACATTTTGGAAGTACGTTGCGCACTCTTCTCTGTAATGCGTGACGAACTAATCAGAGCTACCGAAGATCATTGTTTACATCTCAGAAATTTCCTTAGCATCTCAATTTTCTACCACAAACAAACTAGTTGTTATTCATCAATTTTGTCAACAGCAGCATTACGCTCAAGTCGTACTTCCAGAACAGGACAGGGCCATCGCATTCAACATACGATTCTTTCTCACTTTCGATCAATAAGTTACCATGAACTATTATAATTCCCTCGTTTGTAACCAAAAAATTAATTAAAGGTGACACGACCTCTAATAAAAGGAGCCGGTAGACAGGGAAACGTTTACTAATATCTGTACATTCCTGCACAAGCACAAATAAAAGTTGTTTTGTTCCATCCGAGATTGGTAATTCATGTGTATGCAATTATTTCGCACGCGCATTTCTAATATTCACAATTCTTCTTTTTATTTTATTGTAGCATACGCATCCACCAAATACGCACATACAGTATGCACAGACGGGTAGCAGCGCATTGGGGCGCCTATCAATTTTTATATAGTATAATTGAAATTTCCTTGCTACGGCATATTAAAATCATTGAAAATGACTTGGTTATAGAAATAATTCATAAAAATTTTTAAAAATCCAAATATTTTAATAAGCGCTGCATCGTACATTTTGTGTGCATACAATGTTGGATAATAGGTAGGATTAGAATGCATGCGTATACGTACATGAGAATCAGAGATCCTATATGCCCTTTCGGTTAGTATTTATCTTTCAAACGTAATGATCTTTAAGTAAACTAGTAAAATAAAACCCACCAATTAAACACGTGCCGTGGCTAACAACTCCACCGTTCCCGCCCGAGAATTCGTTCTTGAGGTCTTCCTCTGCACTTTTGAATGCCATTTTGTGAATTATGTATATTTCGCGACTTCAGAAGAATCCACAAATTTTAAATAATATTATATTTATCCAATAAAATATTTTTAACGGATAATGTATATAATTTATACTGTATATTTATATACTGTATATCGGAAAACTAAATACTATTTAAAATAATTCCATTAATTAATAAAATTTTTTAATCTCTTGTATAACTTAATTTTTTAAATTTTAAGCTTTTGTTGATATTCTAAATCAAAAAAACCATTGCATCAATAATTAATAAGATATCTAAAAGTTGAATCTACTGTTAGGAATAAAAATCATCACTATAATGAACAAATAATTATACAGTTAACATTACTTTTTGGTTTAAACTATGTAAATAGAGCAAATACTGTAAATATATACTGTATATACAGTATAATTAAAATTATAGTCTTATGTTTTGCGACAACTAAATAATTATTTGTATTTTTCATTCATTTAAATAATCTTTATTTTAAAAATTGTACATTGTTTTTAAAACAATTTGTAATTACATAAAATATTTTAACAATATATCAAGCAAATATTTTTTATTGTAACGTTTGACAAAACGAATTGAATAAAATTGTTACTATAAATAAAAAAATATAATTAAATATAAAATATATTAATTTAGTTAAGTAAAAACATTAATTAAAAATATGCATCATTAAACAAAATAGATATCTTTAAGAAATCTTATTATTGTTACCGAAATTATAATTATTAAAAAATCTTTTTTTTTTCATAAAAAAATGTTGAATCATTATTGATTTTATTATATTTAGAAAATTTTTAAAATTGAGTTAAAATTTTTTATAAAATTAAAAATAAAAATAATATTTGTTAAATATAACTTTTTATAAACAAACAAGTGTTACAGTAACAATAAATTACTTTTTCAATAATATACTTATAGTAAATAATAATTTATTCTAAAAATTTGATTATTTTAATCACTTAAAATATCAAAGATAATTGAACATCTATTAATTATAGTATATGTATAATATATAAACTAGTTATTAATAAAAATTAATAATTTTGATATAAAGTAATAGAAATAAATATTACTTCACAAATTTATAAATTTTATTTACTATTATAATCTTATATTAATTAAATAAAGACTTAAATATAATAAATAAATTAATTAAAATTTAAATTCCTTTTTAATATTAATAAAAAACAATATTTGAATATAAATAATTTTAAATATAAAACTTATATAAAAAATATTTTTTAGTTTCATTATAATTCTTATTATTATTTTTTTATTTTTTAATTACAATTATATTATTGTTAATGATTACAACAAAATGAATTATAGTAAATCAGATTTTAACTAGATTCGATTTAATTTAATTTTTATAAATACGAATTAAATACAAATCTAATTTATTTTGAATTAATTTGAATTAATTTGAATTTAATTTGATTTGATTTGAATTTAATTCAATTTGTTTTGATTTAAATCTATTTTAAATTATATTCAATTCTAACTATTTCAATTTAACTTAATTAAATTAAATATGTTTAAATTAACTTGATTTTATTTTAATAAAAATTTTTTAATTAATATATTTATTTTCAAATATTTTTTGACTTTAAATTCATAAATTTTTAAAGTTTTTTTTTTTAAACACTAGTTCAATCTTATTTTATTTATATACTTGTAGCATAATTATATAGATTGGTTATTCTAAAATATATCACCTATTTTCTATTAAATAAAACTCAATAAAAAAATCTTTTTTTTATAGTATTTACCTTATAACTTATTGCTATCTTTTATGAGAGGGCTAATTTGTTAAGACTGAACTAATACTGAAATAAATTTCAAAAATAAAAAAGTTTTCTATAATGTTTATAAATCACCAATTTATGAAATCATTGCTATAATCTTTATTAATAATATGTCTATATATTCATATAAAGCAATTGCTTTGGTTCAGCTACTTATATTTTCTTTATATATAGATAGACAATATATATACTAACAAGTATTTATATATCTACTTATATTAATAATCTATATACATAAGTAGTTTCTATATATTTACTAACTATTTATAAGTATTATCTTATTGAAAAACTATACAATTTCTTCTAAATTTTTTTTAAACTTTTTTATTAAGAGTAATCTAGTTACTAAGCAATAGAATTTTTTTTATCCTGGATCCAAATTTTAGTTTTTTAAAGTAATCTGTAGATTTTTTTTTTCATCAAGATCTTCCAATTGTTAAGCCTATAAGTTAAAGTATAATCACATTCTTGAAGTCTTGAAACCAAATAATATCTTCAGTCAATCCTTCTTTAGCAATATATAACTGGTTTAGGAATCTATTTTTCTTATTACTAGCAGATGATAATATAGTTTTATCAAGAATAATTCTACTCAATTTCAAATAGTGACTTTATTACAATCTTTATATAGACTGTCCTATATTACAGTAAAGGGTCAAAAGATTCTCCACATTAATAATGAAATAATCTTTTCTTAATCGATTCCATTTCCTGCTTTTATAGGATTAGTAAGATTATCTTCAAATATGACTTTGAATTCTCTGTTTTTGAAAAGGCTCATCATGATCTTAATAAAACCTTTCGGTGTCTTGATTTTTTTCATCACTTTTACTAGCATGTCTAGATTAATAGTGTCATAAACTTTGTCTGTATTTTGAAACAATATATACAGCTCTTTTTTGTTTTCTCTCACATCTTCACAGATGTTATTTGAAATTTGAATTGGTTTTGCTATACTTTCTTTTGATAAACCTGTATAGTTGAATCCTTTAAGGATATTATTGATCTTACAAATATTCCCCATTCTGTTGATCAGAACTTTGATAAAATACTTTCTAGTGATCTTCAATAATACTATAGATCTCATATTTAAAAGTTCACAATTCCAAGGCTTTGACTTGACTATGGGATATATATAACTTTGCCTCCAGGATATAAAAGTAACTTCCCATTTTAAGAAGTTGTTAAGTATTTTCCTCAAGTATTCTTTTCCATTTTAGTTTAATCTTTTTAATATCTTATAATTAATCTAATATTTGCATGGAGTCTTGTTATTGAGAAATATTTTAAGTACAGTATTTTACATAATTCTTCTTGTGAGATTGGTTCGAGAAGATTTTTATACCAGCTCTCTTAAATATAGTTCCTGAAATTATACTCCTCTTTCCAATCTTCTGTCAAATTATCAAAATTGATTTCTTTTCTCTTGAAGGTTATTAAGTGATAGCATTTTATTTCTTTTTTGATTTCATGTTTTTCTTTTGTTATATATTCAATATCATATTGTTTGATTTTGATCCTGTCTAGTATAATCTTATCTTTTTTTTTATTGGTTAAAAAGCTTACCATCCTTCTTTGATTGTTTTTTAGATCATCATATCTTTGTTTTAATACAATTTTAATGATATCTCTTGTCTTTTTGGCTTCAAGTCTTTGACTAATAAACTTTAGACCTTCTATTGCATCTTGGATATATTTTTTAATAATATCTAGGGCATGTTAAAGATACTATATTGCACACAATAATTTACAATCTGATGATATAGGTTGTAAATGGTATTATAGTTCTCTATTGCCTTGCAAAAGTTTTATAGCTTTTTTATTTTTTTTTTGAGATTTCTGTTTTCTTGAAAAGTTCCTTTAGTTGCAAGGCTTTTCTGTATTTAGCAAATTCAAGATTGTATCTATCATTTCTTTCTTTATGTAATATAATCTTTTTAGTTTCAAGTTTGTTAAAAGTTGCTTTACACATCTGTTTTTCAAAGACTGTTCAAATTTTGTCTGCAAGTTTTCCTTTTTTATTTACTTTAGGGTCTTCTAAAAGAAGAGGTTTCAGTTTCATTTTGAACTTATAATTCAAGTTTTCTTGATAGATTTGCCACTATTCTGATGAAGATCCTTTTATGACAATTCTTTTTTTATTTTGTGTTTTTGGTTTGATAGTTAGCTTCTTGTAAAGAGGTCTTCATCATGGAGAGTAATTATAAGTATAGTATAATTACTTCCTGTGACTTCTTATATTTTTTGATTATCAAATTGTAGTAACGGATATCTTGTTAGACCTGTGATATCCAAATATAATCAATTCTACCACTGCTTGTGGCATCCCACCATTTTGGAGTTTTATTTTTGCCTTCCCATACTACCTGGATATCTATAAAGTCTCATTTATCCAGAAAGTTGAACAATAGAATTTCAGGATACCAAGAAGATCTGAACTTAGTCTTGAAGAATATTATTTTATCTTTTGATAGATTATAGACAGTATTGAAATCACCTATCACTATTATGTAAAAGCTTTGTCTCTACTTTCTTTTGATAAAATTGATTAATTTCCTTTGTACCTTTTTGCATTATTGTTTATCTAAAGGAATGTATATGATACAGACTTTTTCTTTTTTATAAGAAAATTAGCAACTATTATATAACTTTTCTCCTCTTCTATTGATGTTATTTTTTTTTTCCAAATTTTTTTTAATTAGGTGACTGACCTCTGCTTCAAATGATATATCTTTATTGATGTTATAAAAATACTTGTAGGTTTTTTGATTTTTAAAAGTCCATTTTGTATTGGTTTAAATTAGCTTAGTTTTGTATATTTCTATTATGTCTATTTCTTGTTTTTATATCTCTTCAATAAAACTTTACTGATTTGTCTTGTCTATTGCACTTCTGATATTGTGTGTGCCTATTCTTATCACTTTTTTCTGAACATCTTCTTCTATCTCTTTTGTATTCTTTATTTGCTTATCTATATTTTGGCTTCTCAAAAAGGTAATATACTTATTCTATAGAAATTTATCTATATTTAGGTCACCACCTTGTCCTGCAGCTTTATTTGAATCTATGGTTCATACTTTGTCCTTATTATAAATCTTTGTTGAGAGAGAACTGGACTCTTTCTCTTTATATCTATCTTGATCAACTGGTATGATATTTTAGGAGTAGTCAGCCCATTCCAGTCCTCC